CTTTCCTCATTTAGTCAGCATTGATTAGACGCTGGGGTAAAAATATTTTCTTACCCGAGTTTAAGTATTTCTTGAACCTTAGCTCCGCTGGGATCTCTATTTGCGAAAAATTCTGGTATAACGGATTTTAAAGTATAATACATATCAAACTTCTCCTTGGCTCTTTCAAGACTGTATTTTCCACCACGCAAAAATCCTATCAACCATTGGTCGGCTGAAAATAAAAAAATATTTAATTTTAGAATATAAATCAAATTTCTATTCTTAAAAAGTATTTATATTTTATATACATTAATAAAATATTTAAAGTAGGTATAATCTTTATGATTACCAAGGGCTGTAAAAAGATTAAAACGATACTGGTAGCGACATCTACACTATATACATTGAAACTGAGAAAGAATTGACGTCACTGGCGTCAGACGGTACAAAGTTGTTAAGAAAAACGTGCCTCTTGATTTCGTACAGATAAAATAACATAGATGTCGCTACCAGTCGCACATTGACCTTTTTTAAATATTTATTGCACTGTGCTTTTGTACTTTTTGTCCTTATTGTCGTTGTGTAAACTTTTTAGGACTTGTAGGTAAAATAACAGATTCGATTTATTTTTTCAATAACATCAATGCATGTTCCTTCAGCCAATAGAAATGTACTATTATCTAATATTATTATAATACTTACTAGGTTGTACAGATTGGAGATGTGGTTGTTTTCTGAGCCATTCTCTTAGAGTTAAGATATCAGACTTCACTCTCTTTGGTTTCTCGTTCAGTTCCTTTTCGGCTACCTTCTTCAAACCAGGTGGTAGGGGCCGTAAAGCCATTTTATGTATTTTATTATCAAGTTTAACTCATTTATTATAACCAAGCCACGGATAAAACCTGCAAATAACACAAATATCATTTTTGTATTTTGCCTTTTATTATTTTGTACTAATATGTTAAAGGGACAACTAAAGTCATTAAAAACATTGTGATATCAAGTAAGTACGATATCAACAGTAGGTACCCATTCTTAGTAGCATTTTGCTATATCTTGTCAACTAAATCCAACTGGTAGGTATAATTAAGCAATCAGCATATTTAGTGAACAAGGAAGTTTTTATTATTATATCAATAGCCAATAGTTCAATATATTCTGCAGTAGACTTCATTATTTTCAAAAAATAACAGTGAATGTTTAAGAATTGTTTTGACCACTGTTTTTGACCAGAATTAGAATTCAAGTTACTTCAAATTACCTATGTGATATTTTTTCCGATAAGTCCCCGCGAAACTTGGTTTGCAGAATGCAGGATCCGCCACCGCCGATGGAGGATTTAAATTACTTTTGCAGTTTCTTAAGTACTAAGCTGATTATCGAATCAAATTCTTACTAGGTTAGTAACGCCTACAAATATAACTTACAATCATTAATCTAACTTCACAACAACACTAAGTGTGGGCACTTAACATATTGGTATTTTATTTAAGTTTATAAAATCATCATGTACCGCTTCTCCCGCCTTGGATGGGGTGAGAGGGAGTGTCAAACTGTCTTACTGACTAAAAACCTCTCCGTTTCTTGTGCTTGTGGAGCCAAGGTGTACGCAACCATAAATTGTGCTTGCCCACATACCCGGATTTAATTGTACTTGGGTATCTAATATTATATCCCACCACTAACCCACTTAGTACCTACAAGTAGACAGGCAAAAAGCCAAAAGTCCTAAACAACAACTCTAAAATTGAATTTACAAAATGATATCTCGTCAATTTTATCGCCCAGGCATTGCGTAGGTATGTCTGCTTATAATCAAAAATTAAATAAAAAAAATAATTTTAAGAAAAATGAATCAATTTAATAATAATGAAATGACTGGGGAGTAGATGCCAAAATATGATGAAAAAAAAATGATGTTCTATATAATTCGATAATTCAAACCTGGCTATTGGGGATTTGTAGATAGGGAAAGGGGAGGAGTATTAGTGATTGGTGATGGGACAATGACTTGTATCCATTATTATGATTTTGGGGTTGAGAATGGGGAAAGGATTGGCCCACACAGAAAATTTCACAACAACACACGATATTTATCTTAGTACAGATAGTAGACAACAGAAGCCGCAAATGGAGTCTAGTATTTCATAATTAAACTCCCACTCGTTAATTAAATTAGCGAGCAAGTCACGAAGCTTGCCGATTACGCCTATAAATACCCGCCTAACAAGGTGATATTAATTACATTGTTTACAGGAACAACACTCACCTACCTATATTATTTAATTTTAGTAAGGGAACTACGTAAAAGTAAAATAAAAAATAGAAACCTTAAACAACACGGCCCACAAAATCACTGGTTTTTTACTCTCTCGTTGTGTGCGAAACTTCCTACTTCTGACAATTAAACAGATACAATAAGACTGTGATACTTTATAACTAAATCACTGATTAGATAGCAAGATATTAGGTATTAAAAACTAGCTTCTCCCACACGGTTTCACTCGCTGCACGACTTCTTTTGGTCGATGCGTGATGTTTTATAACCTATAAAGTTCCTTCCTCATTAAATGGGCTATCCAACAGAAAAAGCAGAGTCAAATTCGAATCAGTAGTTTCGAAGATTAGTGCGTTCAAAGAAACAAAGTCACAAAAATCATTCAGCTTTATAATATTAAGTACCTACTTATAAATAATTAATAACAAAAAGATTATATCACATAGGTGATATAATTTATTCGGCTGACGGCGATAAGTTTCTTTTCTTATAAGGCAGACCTAAGCAAGCCAAATTTCACACATAATAGGTTCAGTAGTTTAGGCGTGAAGAAAGGACAGACAGACACAGTTACTTTCGCATTTATAACATTGGTTTATATTTGGATAAAGATGCTACCTACAGTAAGCAAACACATAAACAAATGCAACAGATCTTCCTTTTTTCAAATCAATACTTAGATGATTTAAAAACTAAAATTATCTAAGTATTGATTTGAAAAAAGGTTACTAAACTCGGTTACTAAAATCGGTTCAGTAGTTGTATGATTTTGACTTTAAAAGTTAAAGTTTGTATTAAAAACCGTGTGTCGTAAATGCTTATAAGTGTGTAAAAAATTATTTTTTTTTTTCTAAAATATCCTATGCAATCTACTTATCCCTTACATAATTTTGCCTTCCAAGTCTTTCCCAATCTCAATTACCGCATTAATTTAAAAAACTCGACAAGTACGTAAAGTGTAGGTACAATTCAAAGTTTAATCGAGTATTACATTATCATTTAATCATAAAACCGAAGCGAAACAACAAATTATTTTTTTATCAATGGACGATAAACATTATTATCAATAAAAGTCTCGCACAACAACACGATAAATTTAATTCATTAATTAAAAAGTTACTGCATTTTACATTTGGACTTACCTTTTAAACATATTATGTATATCCCATGAAGTAAAAAGAAATAGAGGAATTTTATTGTTACTATTCACTGAGTACTTTTCCGAACATGAATGAGTTTTAAAAAGTCTCTTATTAGAACATACTTCACATCTTCTTCACACTTATGTATCTTAACGAGCACAAAATTACTAAAACATATTAAAAACTATGAGAATATTTGTTTACACATTTTACATCCAAACAAGTCTTAAGAAACGTTATCTCAGTGACTTGTGTCTGCCCATTCTATACCCAACTTCACGCCTTATCTATACCAGAATAATGAAGTAGAATGATATGTCTGTGTGTTTGTATTAAATAGGCTCCGAAACTACTGAACTGTTTTTGAAAAATCTCACAGCATTGAAAATAACGTAGTACTTTACCATAATCTTAAGGGAACAAAGTAGGCTACTTTTATAATCCCAATATTTTTTCTAAGAATTTAAGATGAGTCTTTGAAACTCCATGCAAGTCAAGAAGGAGGAATAGTAGTTTTCGTATTAATTATCTGAATGGGACGGAAACACATTATATATACCAAGTGTCTAACTAGCGTATGCGTGTTATTTATTAATGCTAATTGAATAATTAGTACGTGCTTCATTTCTGTAGATATCTTATATTTTGAAACTAGAATTGAGTACAATGTGAAACAAATATAGATGGGACTATAGGAATAAACTCTATCCACAATATTTTCGTATTCTTATTGCATTTATTGCCAAAAAATAATCGTAGGTACTTACCGAAAATGATAACACAGATTATCAATATCAGGAACTTTAGGTACAAATTAAATTGTCAAATTATTAGATGCATGTGCTAGCAAATTGCTGTGTCATTGTAACACCTGTGTAAGTACTTATATCTATAGAGAGCAACAGATATTTATTAAAATATTTCGCACAACCAAAAAGACGAAATGTATTCATTTTTCAAAATGTAGCGTCTTAAAACTACACACATTTGTTGATTAATAAAAATAGGTACTAAAATATATGTAAATCAATTTAATAATGTTCAAACATTCTCACTTTGGAGGTACCACGTATATGTACTCGTACATAAATTATATGAGTCATAATGCAGTGAAGTGATTACAAAATATTAATAACAATCGCTCTGAGATAACATTTGTACCCAATGTTTTGTGGCGGCGGTAGTGGACAACGGAAAAAGCAACAAGTTATTAAAAATATTACGCAAAGTATCACACGAATTTATTTATTACATATGTTAGCGCTTCAAACTTATTTCCTTACTTATCAATTTATTTGCAATTTCGAACATTAAGGGCTGATTTTTCAGTGGTTAGTTAAAAGTGACCTGGGAAATATTTATGATGCGCGTCGAAATGTTTGTATAACACAGTGACAGCAACAATTTTATTCCTCAGATAACATTTACCTGAATAAAAAAGCCCTTTTAATAAAATAAAGATTTAAAAAAAAAATTTACCTGACTATTGAAAAATCAGTCCTCAGAAAACGAAATGGCGCCAAATTCTATTTTTTTAATTAAAAAGAACAAGTTTGAAGCCAATATTAGATTTCTTTTAAAAAGTTTTAAGTAAAAAGGTTTTATTTATGTGCAATTTATTTTAAATAAGGAACGCGCATATCAGTCTATATCAAGTTTTCTAAAGGATCCTTCTTCCATAAAATCGTTGGCAACTGGTGGACCAAGACGTTTCGACTCATCTGTTCCCAATTGCTCCTCCACTTTCATCCAGTCCTGGTATTGTTTGAACTTGCCCACCCAATATTCTGTAAGTTTAATAATGATTGTTTAACTTTAATCATTAAAATAGGTCCTCGGTAAAGAGCAAGACATTAAATTCTTAAAATATGACTTTCAAACTAACCTGTAAGTTCTGGAATCGATGGACCAGTTCCACCATATTCTGGGGGTACTACTTCTTTTGGAATGTCTTCCATCAGTTCTTCTTGGTTTTTATGGATTCTCAACTGTAAATATGACGAAATACGTCAGGACTGTATTATATTTCTATATAACTGGAGAATGTTTTATCTTCCAACTTAACTTTCGGCACAAGAATCATGGTAAGCAGATAAACTTTTACTTATTAGAAAAAGGTTAATAATCGAAAGCGAAAACTTACCCTTTGCCTAGCCTTTTCATTTAAAAATCCTTGAATAACTGTGATGACCTTCTCAACGCCAGAAGGCAGGTTTATATGGTGGCTGCCTTTCAGTCGAAGTGGCATGCTATCCTGAAATACGCCAGAAAAATAACTTAAAAGCTTACAACGCGCAACAATAATTAATTATATGACAATATAAGTTATGCGTTTTGAGTGAGAGGCTGTTTGTAAAGCTAATATTTTATACATCTCAAATTTATCTGCCATGGTAATCAAATCAAACAACTGAACCATACTATAGACAGCAACATACAGTCAGACATAATGATTGTATTATGCACATAACAAGTTTATGCCCGCGACTTCGTTCGCGTGGAAAAGTGACTGCAGATTTTTTGGTATAAAAACTAACCTTAACCTTTCTCGAGTTCCAAACTATGTCTGTACCAATTTTCACAGAAATCGGTTCAGTAATTTAGGCATGAAGAAAGGACAGACAGAGTTACTTTCGAATTTAAAATATTAGTTTGTTTTGATTATAGATTAAAAATGGTATAACAGGGCTTGAACTAGAATGTCAACTGATCCTTGATAGACAATAATTTTTGAGGTTCGTGTCAAAATTGCAAATATCGACTTTGGAAATCAATCGGATGGAATTGGTTATAATCAAAAGCAACCTAAATATAACGATTCCAATTTGCAATTAAGTTTAGGACATCTCACAATTAACTTACAGTTCTAATTCGATTGCATACGTACTTGACTAACAGCAACCATTTTCTTCAGCATCGATGGCGTGCCTTGAACGAAGTGAGACATTGTGACCCCCACGTAGTCTGTGACGATCTTAATACCAAGTACACAGGCAATGTCGTCTTCTAGTACCATAATCTGGAAACAACAAGACATAAAATAAATGAAGTTATATTTCTCCATGCAAAACAATGTTAATTACGTTGAATTTGATACAAAAATTTTACATTTAAAAAAGCTTTTCCCCTGTAGGATTTTCACCTGTCTTAACGAGACAAATATAGAAAATCACACACCCTCGCTCGGAACACCGGCTTTTTTTTGTTTTTGATAAAACGTTGCCCCACACTAGGATTTTCTCTTGTGTCGTGGGTGCGTTTACAAACATACAATTTCACATACACATGACACCCAGACCGAAACAACAATTTGTAGATAACGCAGTGTTGTTCCGATCGAAATCGACACGTGGCAGTCAGAGTTTGTGAATGAATCAGAGTTGTTATAGGTGAGGGAAATATTCGGGTGTTATTAGTTATTGTTTATTTAATAAATACTTCACGCACGTAACAGTTAATAGGTGGATTTAATTCCTTATTAGAGAATCCTCATTGTCTATTGCCCGGTGTCCATAGATAGCGCTTGCTTTACCGTCAGGTGATTCGTTAGCTTTGCGACCGACATATCCGAAAAGATTCATATGGTATTTGATTTGCGCTATTCATTTAGGTAGCCTAGGTACACAACCATCAACACAGTTACCAAAATTACCTACATTTATGAATCATGTAGGTACTTAACTGTAAAATAATAAGCACTTGTCTCTGTACTTCCTAATCTGAATTGTTTTAGTAATCACACATCAATATTCTATTTATCAATCATTCACTCGTCACAAAATTAATATTGTACGAAGTGCATCTGTACTCTTTGCCTAACGACGTGTATTTTATCCTAATAGGCTTCCCGTTTCTCAGGTCAATATCATCAAATGCTTTTCCCGCCCTATTGCGCGAGTATCAGGCTAAAATCGCCCCTTTCCTTCTCATGCTCACGGCGGGACCGCGGTAAATTATTGCGCTTGCGCTCGCAACCCGGATACTCGGGACCCTGATCTAGTATTTCTAATAGAGTACTCAAATCAGAGACTTGTTCTTAACCTAAATGCGGGTCGTGAAGGATAAAATCCATTAACTAGCGACGGCTTATGATCATTTTGTCCCATATAATAGTATAATTTAATGAAACAATCAAGAAATAAGATGGATCTTTTAAGCACACAAGCGCATAGCAGTAATAATCCAATGTGATGTAGCAATAGAAAATAGGTATTATTATTGTTATGTTAGAATCCTAGCAACAAGTCACCTGTTTCTAATGAAAACTACATACTAGTGTTGACGAAAATAATCACTCAGATCAGTTACAGATATCAATTCAGAATGTTTAGACTTAAGACCAATATACTGCCCTACAATCACGGGTCGATTCCTCCACGATAGGCAGTGAACGTGCAGGAATCGACTGTTGGTTTGATCCATAAAATGTTACTACGGATGTGGGTGTGATGTACATGTGAAATTTTATGTTTTATAAACGCACACACGGCATGGGAGACAAAACTAGTATGGAGTAACCTCTAAAAAAAATATTGGTTTCATACAATAGTTTTTTTCTGCCAAAAGTCTAAGATTAACTTAGCTCGGTTATTTATTAAAAATATATTGTCAAATGTTACCTGAACTAAATAATACAGCATGCACATGACTTCGCCTACATTATGTTCTGATGGATCGTATCTGCCACATCGGATGAGCAGCACTCGAGGACACAGCTTGTCTTTCGGATTTGGTAAGATTAAACATGTTCTGGAATAAGGATAAAATTCATAGTTAATGTTTTGGATATAAAGAATAATCCTATTTTTGTGGGTGCTTTTACAAATATACAAATTCACACCTATCCCAGACCCGAAACAAAAATTTGTTGTTCTGCGTGGATATCGAACCCGCGACATGTTGCACGGCAATCACTCCGTCAAATCTGCAGTCACCTTATTGAACTCTAGTTGTTGAAAAATATAAGTACCTACTCGTCTAAGGTCAAGTTACTCAGATATTTATTTAGAAGATATGACGTCATTGCTATGTCATTTGTTTTGATGTTTTTTGTATTGGCCATTATAATAAAAACGTGGCAAAATTTATGGATAAAGTAACATTTTTTTATAACAAACGTTATTAATATTTTACGGTACTTGAATCTTTAGTCGTGTGATAATGGTAGAATAAAATACATGAGTTGGTCACCACAGTTTCCGCAAAAGAACGCAGTTCTTAACGCAGAAATCGGTTAGCACCATTTTTGTTCATGAACTAGATCCTTTTAAACTATATTTTCAAGATTGTGACCAGCCTTTTTTCCGTAGTAAAAGTCATCGTCACAGGCTCAGTGGATACTCTCACAGAATGTAGATGATGATAAAACTTAAAGAAAAAGTAACTTACCCAAGTCTAAAGAATTCCAAAAACTTTGGGTCTGTAGGTTTGATTCTCAGTGTAATTTCAGGTGCTGTAGTTCTAAGAGTGTAGTACAAATCTAGCTTCTTCTTAACTCGTTCTAGACTGAATTTGCACCCTCTTAAAAACGCTATGAGCCATTGATCCTCTGTAAAGAAATATATTTTATTTTTATGTGTAAACAATAGAGCACAATCAAGGAGCCCGCTTCACATGCATGAGGGTGTAGGTTTCGAAACCTGGCAAGTACCAATGTGACTTTTACCGAGTTATATTTACTTTCTATGATTATTTAGACACCACTGACATACGGTGAAGGTAAATTTCGTGAGGAAACTTGGACTTATAATTTCTAATTATAAGTTTGTAATCGCCAAGCCGCATTGAGCAAGCGTGGTGGTTAATGCTCTAACCTTCTCCGTATGAGAAGAGGCCTTTGCTCAGCAGTGGGTACTTATAGGCTGATAGTGATGAAACAATAGAGAAGGCCTCTTAATAATTGTATTTCTTTTTATACAGTTCGATGATTACATTTTCACGGAGTAACATTTTTAAAATGTGGTTGCAACAGGCTGGCAATATTTAGTGGGTTCAATTCAGTGCTGGCGACAAACTGTGGGGGACGCCAAGGTCTGAAGTTGGATTCTGTTGCTGTATAGGTGTAACGAATTTCAAATTTCGCCATGGTCAGCAGAAAATACGATTTAAAGGGTCATTAGTATTATCGAATATAATTAAAGAATATTTACTCTACTTGCATTAAAGAGTAGTAAGATAAAATCAATTTGCATATTTTTTTCTAAGTGTAGAAGAGCCATGCTTTGGCACGAATGGGTCCACTCGACCTAAGTAATACCACGGCCTCACAGAAAACCAATCGTTTCCCCCAATTCCTCCCCAGTCCCTAAATCTCCAAATCCCTAATCCCCAAAAGGTCGGCAAAGCAGTCGCAACTCCTCTGTTGTTGCGGGTGTCCACGGGCGGCGCTGATTGCTTGCCATCAGGTAATCCGACTGAACGTTTGCCCACCTAACCACTAACCAAACTGCCTTCCAAACTGGCTTTCTGGAACATTTTCCTTAAAGGGATTCCGTATTAAAACTATGTGTTATCATTGATATAATGTAAAAATTGTAATGAACGATGTCAGTGGAAAACACAGATTAAGATCGATTTTCATATAGATACTGTTATCGGTTTATTTATTAAGGAAAATATTATTACCATTGATATTAAATATTTTTTTTATTTATCAATGATTGTGTGACATCCGTGTAGATAGAAATGAAAACATTAATGGCAAAAACACCTACTGAATAGGTTTGGTTAGTTTAATTGATATATCATGAGCACGGTTCATAGATAACTACAATATCGTTATATTGCCTTGGTTTTATTGCAAATAAACTGAATTTAGATAAGCTATCAGTTGCCATGACCATCAAATGGTAGGTTTTTAGTGCCGATGGAGGTTTTTTGGACTTTAAGGCCTTGTTCTACAGGCACAGGCTACACCATCTCCTTCTTCTTTGTTCTCCTAATTACCTATTATGTATTACTAGCTTCCGCCCACGGCTTCGCCCGCGTGGTATGTTGATAAAAATCAGTCTATGTGTTAATCTAGGGTTTCACCTATCTACATACCTAATTTCAAGCAAATCGGTGAAGCCGTTTTTGCGTGTTAGACTAACTAACACACATCCACACATTTTAACAAACTTTCACATATTCGTAGGATTATTACTATTCTTCAACAATTTTTGTGGTCGGTAGTGTGCTTTCTTTGGAGCACAAACGCAATAATAATAATAATATGATAATTTAACTTATTTATATTATTTAAAGCGATACTTGAAAACTTTGACCGTACCATGCATCGTTCCTTAACAAGGTTCTACTTATCCATCGAAATTATTGTAAAAACTAAAGGGTACACGTAATTCAAGCGCAATGAGGCACCGCGGACAAGGAACGGAAATTTTTAGTCAGTAAGAGTCTGATACTCTCCTGCCCGACCGTGGAAGCGTGGGCGGGAGATGCCATATGTTGATTTTCACAAAAAGGGTACACTTTATACGAGTGTAGTATTTGAGATTAGCTCCAGGTGTATGTAACACAAACAAACTCATTGTCACAATGTTAACAACACTTCAAATAATTTCTTAATACTATCGCACTTCAAGCTACTCCAATCAAACTAATTATCTAACATATTTTGAACTTAACTACATAATAACACGGTTTAAAATATACTGCATGGGACTGCATACCTGTTCTAGCTTTCAGGTGTGGCTGTTTAGCAATCCAATCCTTCAAATGTTGTAAATCATTGGCTATTTGCTTTGGATTCTCGTTTAATTCCTTTTTGGCAATTTCCGCCAATTCTGGTGTCAGTTCACGTATCATTGTGCTGCCGTTTTATTTCTGTGGACATGCAAATTTTATAATAATTACATTATTCATGATCAATATACTTTAATTACGCAACTTACTGTGTACAGAAGAAATATAAAATAAGTGGAAATAAATAAAAAATAGTGGCAAAACACTATACACACTAGCACACGTTTCAAACACAAGTTTACACTAACACTACAAAAACCAAAACGAATAAATTGCTCTAAGTAATTTACATGGCCGAATCTAGACTACTAAGTATATGGAGCGACCTCTAACAATGCTAATGATGTCAATTAAAAACCAGTTATTAATGCATTACTAGATTTCCACTTGCTGTGTCTTCACGAATTAAGTAAACGCCTTTTAAAAAAATCACAATAAAACAATGTATTATGTGTTTTTATGAAATCAGTGAAATCCAACTCTACCCTGCACGCTACTATATCACGCTACCTTAGCATAGATACCTATAGTTAATAACAAAAATTAAGTACTTGCCAACCTGTTATGGGAAAGTACTTAATATCGAGATTTTGAAATTAACATGAATATGATTTCATTCTACTAAATGAATTATGTAGTTGTAAAAATGACTAAAATATTACAACATTTTTAAACCATCTTATTAGGGATTAAAAAGAAATACACACTCAAGAAAGGTGTTATGTACTTACATTGGCTCCGCATTTGTTGAAAGTGATAGGAAGTAAGGCGATACGTACCTATCGTTCGGTGCACTGTAAGTACGGCCGTATCGACAAACTGATAAAGCACAGACTGTTATCACGTACCAGCGTTCCGACACGAAGCCAACTCGCCAATCAGATGACAAGCACAATCTTTGTTCCACTTCTATTGTAACTACAATAGCCATGGAATCGGAGTTTGGATTGTCAATTGGACATACAGTGAGCAATAAAAGTGTAAGTACAGGTAATTTGTTGGTGATTAGTTCATTGGATAAATCTACCGCTTCATTTATATTAGATACTGTTTTGTTTTTAGTATGAAAATGAGGTTTAATGTAAGAATTAAGTAAGATTCATCTATAATTTTCATACTAGCTGCCTCCTCAATATTAAGTCTATCATTTCAAAGTTCCAATTTCGAAATTTCATAGTGACAGTTTTTTTCCTTATCAATTATAAAGATTATAAAATGTTTCATTCATAAAAATTTAGATGAAAAAGAAAATCTATGTTTTTACTGACTACATGTAGGGATGTACTTGTTGCATTTTATAAGGTAAAAAGTATCCTACTTGATTCCAGTCTACAATCTCTATGCCAAATTTCATTCAGAACCTTTCAGCAGTGATTAAGTCACAAATATCCATCCATTCATCTGTGCATCATACCTACAAACATTAAAAAATACTTTTTCAAGAAATTAAGGAAGAGTTTTCTTCTCCATCAATTGTTATTTGAAACACTTCTTATACTTCTTCTTCTTCTACTTCTATTCCTTAACTCGGATAACCCACTCACCTACCAAAAAGTTTAAGCCTTATAGTAATAAAACCAACCTTATTGCTTTAAATAACTTTATTGTGTATGTTGTAACCGCGTCATAATCTTGTCATTACGAGACATCTTTGTTTGAGTATCTTAGTCGTTAATTGTATGCCTATCCTTACTGCTTACTTTATGACTGTAAGTTAGGTATAATGTTACCATCAAGATTATCGTTTCTTTTTTGTCTAATCATTACACATTGTCATTTTAAGTATAGGAGATCCTGTTGATGTTTGAGAACGAATCGGCCATATAACGGCCTCACTGAAAACTGACTTAAAACAGTTTTGCATTGATTGTAATTCGCCTTATGAGTGGTTACCAGGTTACTAGAGTAGAGGCCCAAATCACCTTCCCTCATTCTCGATCCCCAAATCCCCTTATCCTCAAATCACAAAAGGCTTGTAACGCTCTGATAGCCTGTTGATGCAGCTGTCCATGGAGACCTTCGGTTGCGGTGAGTCTTCTATGTACAAATTGGCCGATGTATAACTATTAAATAATCTTAACCTTTGCTATGTAGGTATTTACTATTAGACAACAAAAGTGTTCTGTCCCAAATAAAGGTTTACATAATAAAAGAAAATAAAATAATAATACAGTATCCTTCGACTGATTCGTTTTTATTTTTATTAGTTTACATTTCACAATTATTTTAACTTACATGCTTATTTTACAATAGTCAATTACCTAGGCTATTTCTAACAAAAATCACAAACTTATATTAATTCGTCATAATCATAATCAATAGCTTCACAATAATAGACATAATTATGTAGATGATCTTTGCATAGTTAATCTACGGCTAACTGTCTAAAAGATCCTTGGACTCCAATCATATTTTCCGTAGTTTTCTCTTTACCAGGCCGCTTGCTTTCATCCGTTCCAAACTTCATGTCTTCATCAAACCAGTCTCCATAATGATCTAGTTTCTTCTCCCAATAATCTGAAAGAGCACCAGTTTTAACTTCAAGTTACTCTTTCACAAATATTATATATTAATAAGACCCTTTTATTATGACTATCTCATGTTTATAATTTTTCTTGTGACTCCTACGAAACAATCACGAGCAAAATATTGGGTTGTAAAATTTTAACGAAACAACATGAAACTTTGATTAGTCAGGCGCAGTATGATAATATGCATTGTTTTTTATTTCTCTTCTACCTTCGGAGTCTTACGCAACTGGATAACCCAAGAGATAGACAAAACACACAGTTCTATGCTAAAAGTGCTAAATTTCTACAATATCATGGACTTTACTGTAAAATTATATCCCCTTATGGGTGCTATCAATGATATTATAAGTTAAATGGTGTACCTTTGGTACACTTGGTACCTTTCTAAGGTTACCTAAACAAAATTCGATTTTCCAAAACGATCCACTGATACACACATGAACAATTCATATGTTTACACGTCAAAGTGAGATGGTATAATTCAATAATCGCGAGTCAAAAAGAGACAAATAAGAAAAGTGACTAGTTTAGTGTAGTACTTTTACTTGCTGAGCGCTTGTAACCTATCTACTATTTACTTATAATATCATTGGATGCTATGTTCATCTTTTCCTGTTAACGTGTTATATGTTCAGTTACAATACTAATATTATAGACTATTGACAAAGCCCTAAATAATGTATACCTATTATCTCCTGTTTTGTTCCTCCCTGTCCACCGTACTCCGCAGGTAATATTTCAGGAGGAACGTAATTATGTAACGCGCTCAAATCCTTGCTGTGCATGTAAAGCTGAAAAGAGCAAGGCTATTAATCAGACGAATGTCAAGTTGAAGTCATCCTAATGGAGATTACAATAAAAACTATTATAATAGTATAAGAATGTTAAGAGCGTTAATTTTTTTTATTTATACACACTTTTTTCCTGTGTTTCTCGTTGAGGAGTTTTTTCACCAAACTGAATAATTTCTCTAAAACTGGTAAGCTGTTTATGATGTGTAGACTTTTGAGTCTTAACGGTGAAGCGTCCTGAAAATTGAATGCATTTAAAAATTAATAATGAATGAAAATAAGTGTTTGTTTTTTAGGTACCTATGTAAATGATACTAAGAGGATACTTTTAAAATTAAATTATAATCATGTACGCAAGGAATGTTATTCAAACTATCCATAGAAAAGATTGCCTTCTATCATAAAACATATTACCTTTTAATGAATTTTTGTGGTTAGTTTAGTTTGAAATGTACGTATCAAAAATTCTTTCGTATATTACAATAAAGGTATTTTAAAAAACGTTTGCCGTTGCTGTTCCTTCGTTTTAATTGGTACGTACCTGATTTAGATATACCTACCTATAACGGAAAAAATTGAGCAACGTCTCGTGTACGAAGCACCGTTGCACCTAACCGATAACGATCGATAACAAATGAACTTCTTGTGTTTTGTGATATCGACATCTATATATAACAGACTCATTAGTTCACCGAGTGGTTGTAAGGACAAATTCCCAAAGTTTCGGGTTAAATCCTTATTCTTGAGATTTTTAAGTTTCCTATACCACTTTTCCACTACATATTTATTTGAGAAGGGGAAAAATATCTCTAAGGATCTTGTTAAGGAACTAGAGACAGGGCAGCTGTGGGCTTTGGAAAAACTAACCTTTAAACTATGACCTAACTAAGCGCCAACCGATGAGGCTTGTAAATTATGGCGTCTTAGGCCTATGTGCAGAGAAAATAAATATTAAAAGAGTTTCATATAGAGGAGTCTTGATATATTATGTTTTTTTACTATATTTTTTTAATATAAGGTCTTGTGGCAGGACGAAAGGTGAAAAAAGAGTCTTTCACATCAAAACTACAGAATGAATGAAAAGTTTGATGAAAATGAACCCAGATGTAGATCATAGTCTGAAATATCTGGCTAGTGCTGAAAACCAATGACGACGTGGACTTGAGCTTTAGCCATTTTGCGCCGTGACGACGTTCTTTTAGTCATGTGTTTTATTTGTATTTGTCAAACAAGAAACAGAGGTTTTCCTTCCATACCTTTTTAATTTTAAATCCTAAGTAAATATATGGAGAAAACTACTGTACAAGGATACATACCTGTCCCGCAATCACCAGTTTCTTCAAAACTGTTGGTGTCATTTGCATAATATGAGCCATGGTTACTCCTTCAATATCTATCACATTTATAGTCCCATTCACCATGAACGCGTCATCTTCCAAGTACTTAATCTATAAAATAAAAAAGGTTTTTCATTACAGTATTTTTTTTATAAACATAAAAAATAAACTTTATGGGAGAGTTTATTCCTATATGTTTCACTACAATTTGCTATAAAGGAACTACTTATTATTAACAGTTCACGCTCGAGTATTTTCTTCGGCTGCACAACGTCTCGTGTATTATTAAGAGTCCCGTTCTGACTTGAAACTAGTAGAGGTCAGCTTAGCTTATCCATGTGACTAAGTCGTTATTTTTATCGTTACTGTATGTACAAAAAAAAGTTCGGTTTTTAGTTTTTTTCAGTATCCCATAATAGGTACTAATTTCTACACAGTCGAATCTACTTCATACTCATTAACTAAGTATTATTACAGTAACAATAAATTTCAATGTGAAAACAATAACAGGCTTACATAAAAAAATGGCGAATATATTCTGAATCACAATTTGGAAACATATCTACTATCTTGACTCTGTATGTTACCTGAAGGTTAAACAGGTAACAAATAACAATAAATAAATTTCGCATATCCGTAAACAACTTTCATATGTATGACGTTGAAATAAGAATATTTGTACAGCCTTAAGTTCCTATTATATATATATTATGTGATCTTTAAATGGTTACCAAAAAGTGGGTATTTTGTAGCACCTAACTAACCTGTTGAATAAGATGAGCAAAAGAAAAGTAGTCGATTGGTGTTATCACGCTTGGATCGTAGAGGCTGGGCTTGACGAGAATAACTCGCGGCGACAACGGGGTCGCCAACTTCGGTAACACTAACGTAGCTCTGAAATTAAACAAGAAATAAGTTTTTGTTTTTTTAAAAAAACGTTGGCCCTCATTTTGATTTTGTCATGTGTCGTGGGTGCGTTTACAAACATACATATCACATACACATCACACCCAGACCCGGAACAACAATTTGTGGATCACACAAAGAGTTTTTCCGTGCGAGAATTAAGCCCGCGACACATTGCATGGACGCCAGGTACCCAACCACCGCGCGAACCGTGCAGTCGTCAGTGTCGTGCCGTGTCATTCGACCTTCACTTCGACAACTCATAAACAATTTTTTTATACAAAATGTGATTAAGGTTTTTCCCCTTGTCGTGGATTGTATGCGAACAAACATACAAAATCACATACATGTCACATTCACATACGAAAAAAAAACCGCACTCTGCGGGACTTCGGAGTACAGTGACATGTATACAATAAATAGTACTTGCAATATAATTTAACCCTAGCACAATTATTAAAAATCTAATATCTGATTTAGCTAGTAAGATATACATGCTAACTTACCCAGATCGTAATAAATATTTAAACCGTGGATCGGTAGGTTTGAACATAAATAAATCAGGCGATACTGTTCTTAAGGAGTAGTACAGATCTAACTTCTCTTTAGCACGAGCCAAATTGTGCTTGGTACCTCTGAGGAATGCAGCTAGCCATTGGTCATCTGAAAGATGCAAAATTATTTAAAAATCCGAATAAACAAACACACACGCCCACTTGTAAATCCATACAAGAAGAAAAAGAAATTGAAACTGTAGAATAGCATCAAATATCCTAATCATAACGGTAGGGTAACGACCCTACGCCATAGAAATACCAAGATCAAGAGCAAGGTTTGGACAAGCCCGCTGCAACATCCCAAAACCGCTATAACTCCTGTAAGCCAGGATTTACAGTAGATCATCATCATCATCATCATCATCATCCGGAAAACGTCCACTGCTGGAAAAGGCCCCTTACAGTAGATGCAACCATGTAAACACATGCACACAGAAGTCCGTTGCGTTCCACGGACATGAATGACTGTTATGGATCCCGCTACGAAATAATTCAGAAGATATTATTTGAGAAGAAGAAAGAACACTCACTCAGATATATTTACCCTATCCATTAACTTGTATTTGAACACAATATTAATATTTAGTGGCCAATGACCCTGGATCTTTAAACGGTGTACGAGGAGTCGAAGCCAATTTTTTTATTTAAATAGAATGGAACATCACCCTAGAATAATTATAGCCTATCAAATCAAATGGTGGAAATTATATGGTAATCGGTGTGGGTGACTATAAGTTTGTAGACAATGGTCACAATGGGTATACTATGGTCCTGCCCGTCAAATCACATCATTAGCCTAAAAGTGCCCACTGCTGAGCAGAAGCATCCGGTCCTGCTCGTGTGATATCGGTTCGATCCGCGTAATTTTGGTTTGGCTCGTATGATTTCGAACTGAGAGCGAGATTTACAAAGCATTTATTTGGTCCAACAACAGGCACAAATATATAGTACTCAAAAACGAACGAAAATAACGTAAAAATAAAAATGTTAAAAATAAAAACATCAAACATGTTATTGTAAAAACAGAGAAGTAAAAAAAACCAAACATATAAACAATGGTAGGTAAAAAAGGAAGTTACCTAAGGTACTACCTACCTACCTTTTTTTGACCCTACCTTTTTTAACCTAAACACTTTAATAAGTGCAGTATACGCCGCTAGTATACACTAATTGCAGCTCCAGCTCATCATGTGTCAGGTTGTAATGCCTAACGCTAATATAATACTAGATGCCTACGTTGACATACTCGTACATATGTAGAAAAAACAGCACAGTAACTTTACAACTATACGTTACAATAATATACTTATGTATGTTATAACCTCACATTAACAACTCTGATATGTATAATACAATACTAATAAGTATTACTATCTCGTCACGTAAATAAGATGAGGTTCATTCAACTAGGCCAAACGAAGAATTGCTCACGTGAGATAAAGAAATGGCAATATACATGTCTATTTACATAACATGAATTAAAATAAAATCATCAAACAATTCTTTTCATTATATTTGTGCTTTAAATGAAAATATTAGGATTAACTAAAACCCTTTCTTAGAGAATGCATGATATGAGGTATATCTGTGCAATACATGTCCCTACGTTCAGTGGTTCCGGCAAAGCGTATGTAGATCAGTAAGACACTTTTGACTTATCCCCTCCCCCCCCCCTTCCTTTACATACATTTTACTCCATAACCCCTCTTCCGCCCACCCAAAAGATGAATTCCACAAATCCTAAAGCACTTCGGTCTTAAGTTCATATCTACGGAGTTTCGTACCCTGAGAAAAAAATCCTCCTTTTCAGCCCCATACAGGATGAATTTCGAAAAATCATAAATCCTTATAAATAGACCACCACAGACGGGGCCCTATAGGGCTGATGTTCAGCCGGGGTTGCGGGGTAAGCGCAATGAGGCACCGCGACCTCGGCTCAGAGAGGGAGAAGGAGCGGGGGCGTTTTTAGTCAGTAAGAGTCTGTCACTCCCTCCCGCCCGGCCCTGGGCGGGAGAAGTAATTTGATGACTTTCCCCTCACAAAAAAAAACAATTGTGGTATGCCTATGTTCACTACTGTGAACGTCTTGTGATCTATATAGTGATTATTAAGAATACTTTTCCTTGGATTACCTTTTTATAAAAGCAATTTGAATAGACAAAATGACACACAATAAAATATAGTCTCATAAATAAAAACAAATAGTGAGGGATATGGCCTTGTTGATTGCCATTAATTCGATGAACTTTACATTCAAAAGTAATCAACAACAAAACTAAAAATAAATACCTGTTCGAGCCCTCAGGTGAGGCTGTTGACTGATCCATTCCTTCAATTCTTTTAATCCCCGTTCTAATTTGTCCGGCGTCTCGTACAATTCTAACGCAGCTTTCTCTTGCAAAGCAAGCGATAGAGGTCTCACTTCCATTGTGATAAAATTCAAAATTCAAAAATGGTTATCCTTTTTTTAAATTAAAATCAAGGTTCTCATTAGAGTTTATAAACGTCTGTTTCAGAATCCGACCGCGGACGTAGTAAACATTCACAATAAAATATTGATAATGACCCTCAGCCCTCACTACCGCTTACATGTCCGCTGATACCTAAATATAAGTATTACAGACAGGTCATTTCTTTATTATACAGAAATATACATTAAACCAGTAGGTAATTATGATTACATTATCGTCTACATTTATTTACATTACAATACCCATATGTACATTGAAATGCAAAAACAATCACATCAAGTATCATTATCATCATCATATCAGTCACAAGACGTCCACTGCTGAACATAGGCCTCCCCCATTAACTTCCAGATAGGCCGGTTGGAAGCGACCTGCATCCAGCGGCTTCCTGCGACCTTAATCAGGTCGTCTGTCCACCTTGCGGGTGGACTTCCTACGCTAAGTCACGTTAAGTATGCGAACGGTCAAACGTTGGCGCAGTGGCCAGGCAACCAAATGGTGTGGTACATATTGTGAGTTCAATTCCTGCACTGAATTATTATTTGTGTGATCCACAATTTATCATTACAAGTCTGGGTGTGAAATTAAATGATCACTGATGGTAAGTGATCGGTGCCGCCCATGGACACGTGCAGATCCAGCTTTTTAAGAAGGAGTAAGCTCGTTTCTTGAAGGTTTGAATTGTAAACACACATACAACATAGGAGAATATCCAAAATGGTAAACCATATCTTAAAAAAACACCCTCACATATTTGTTATTTTCATGCCCAAATTACAATTGGGGGTTTTTCATACGTTTGCGAAAGTATAGCTAGCGATACGATCCAAACTGAATTGTAAAATTATACTCTTGGGTTAATGCTTACTTTCTTTTCTCAGAAATCAGAGAAGGAAGTGTCAGACTCTAACTGACTAAATTCCCACCAGTTCCTTCTCCTGCTCTGGGCCTAGGCCGCGGTGTCTCATTGCGCTTGCCCCGCAACCCCGGCTGAACATCAGCCCTATTGGTCCCCGTCTGTGGTGGTCTATTGGCTCTTTGAGGCGCACGTGGAATGCTACGCGCCGTACGCTCGGGTCTGGTTCTGGCCGCAGACATGTTTGTATGTATGTAACAATATTTAATCCCTTTTGTGCTGAATTTGGTATACGTCACGTGTTTTATTTTTATCTTTAATGAAATGACTTTGAACCTTTGTATCTTTTTTAATAAAGGTAAATTATCTGATGACATTGTGCTCCCAAATAGTTATCAATTTTTATCATAGATAATATTAATCTGTTAATCCATTCGTTTATTTAACAAAGAACTAAGAAACATAATATTATACCGCCCTTCATTTTGTGCGGGTTGAAAGAGAGGTAACCCACTGTATGCACGAATTATCACCCGATTTTCGTCAGTTGTAGTAAGTGAGTTAAAGTTTCAATATCAAAAACGGTTTTTTTTTACAAAACGGATATATCAAATTGCGTCATACAGTTTCCAAGTAGGGAGAATTTGTAGAAGATTTTGCGGAAAGCTAAATACAAGGGGTATTTAGTTTTTAATATTTGTAAGTTTATATGTATTATATATGTATGTACTTGGTATTGGATAACAGATATATGTATGGTTGGTGTAGATTTATTGTAAAGTAGGTAAATGTCTTAAATGTTTTACGATTTAATTAAATTTCCTACTTGATTTTTGCATCTGCCATTCGTTTTCTGCATCACCCAAAGGTATATGAATCTATAAATAAACAATTAAATCTAATCATGGGCGCCTTAACGTGACCACGAGCAATCTGTCAAGAGCGAAACAACAGAAGAAATGTGCATTTTTTTTCCTTTGATATTAAGGACTACCCAATTACTATTAATGCATTTCGTCTTGGAAATCTATGATTTATAATGCTCATGTAGGTTGACTACTTTGGGCAATCTAATTTCAGCTTATAAATGAGTAGATACCTAGCTTTAGCTTTAGCCTAGCTTTACTGACGAACAGACTGACGGACTGTAAAAGGTATATCTGTGGCTTCGTGTTAGTAGAGAAGCACAAGGTCATATTCTGTTATTCAAGTCTATAATCAATGTGTGTTACCAGCGATGATCTATGGAACTGAAATGTGGTCTCTTACTGTGGGCCTTATAAAGAAGCTCAAGGTCGCTTAGCGTGCTATGGAAAGGGCTATGCTCGGAATTTCTTTGCGAGACCGAATAAAAAACAATGGGCAGGGCACATAGCGCGTAGAACCGACGGCCGCTGGGGCAGAAAGGTTCTCGAGTGGAGGCCACGTACCGGCAAGCGCAGCGTAGGACGTCCACCCGCAAGGTGGACAGACGACCTGATTAAGGTCGCAGGAAGCCGCTGGATGCAGGTCGCTTCCAACCGGCCTATCTGGAAGTCAATGGGGGAGGCCTATGTTCAGCAGTGGACGTCCTGTGGCTGATATGATGATGATGATGGTGATGATGATATTCTGTTATTTATAGTATGTTAGCTAGCGTTGAAAGTTTATACTCTGTTAGAAGTCCAAACAAATAAATAAGGATGATAGGAAATATTATTGTAATGCATGAAGTAACTGCGAAAGGAACTTATGAAAGTTGTTATTTCTCTTGCTTTTTGTTGTTTTTGTAATTGGATCTTATCCGTATTAACATACATAAATAATTAAGGTTTAGTTACTATACATGTTATTTGACTTTGACTTTGACGTTTACTTGTCGAATTTTAACTTTAGTTATAAAGCAAATGAAACAGGTAATTGAAAAATAAAAATGTATTTAATAAGTATTGTAGAAAAGGTAGAAAAATTAAACTTTTAATCCACTTGGAGTTGTCTGAATGAGCCCTCAACGCCAAACATGTCTTCTGCCGTCTTGGGCTTGCCAGGTCGTTTTGATTCATCACTGCGGTACTGGTTGTCTTCTTCGAGCCAAGCACTGTATTCCTTCACCTTATTTCTCCAATAATCTGTAACGAAACAACCCAAGTTTTATCCATTGACTTGAATTTGTTAATTAAAAATTTAATCAGCCCAAGCATGCTGGAGGTAAAATTAGAATAATATTCGTCTATCATTTCCTTTCGAAACAAAACTCTTGAAAATTCCTTTTTCTTGTGGTGTCAATAGTCAAAATGTTTTAAATTGAATAATTGAATCATGTATTGAATTCAGAAAATAGTTGAATATTTTTAATTATTTTCTGATTAAAATTATTTATATGTTTACCTGTAATTGATGCAACTGTGCCGGCATTTCCACCATATTCAGCTGGCAACACATCTTTTGGGATGTATTTGTAGAGTTCATCATAGTTCTTATTATGGACGAACAACTGAAAAAAATAATAATATAACATTAATATAATGTTATATGAATATGCAAGTGTGGAAGAGCTAAGATCGGCACGAATGGATTTGCTCGACCGGTGTGATACCACGGCCTCGGAAAACCGACGTGAAGCAACCACAGCGGTGTGTTTCGTGTCAGTGAAGTTACCGGAGGCCCAATCCCTGCCCCTCCAGTGATTCCTTCCCGATCCTTCAATATCCTAAACTCCTATGATGTTGAGGGTGTCCATGGGCAGCTCTGATTGCTTACCATCGGGTGATCCATCTGCTCGCTGACCAATATATAAAAATATCGTATATTCTAATGCAAATATTTCTCTTAGCTCTGAGTTTCAAAAAAACACGATACTTACTCTGTTTTTGTTTTTCTCATTTAATAATCCCTTCATTACGTTGAAGACAGTTTCAAAACCTGGCGGCGTGTTCAAGTAATGCGTTCCCTTCATACGCATGGGCGATGCATCCTTAAAAGTATCGTCAAACATATGTTAGTTATAACAGAATTAAGTAATTGGCTAATACAATAATTAAAATTAGGGACAATTACAACGTAGGTATTTTCGCAAATTTGATCGAGAATGTGCTATTATTCTTATACAGAAACAATAAAAGTTAACTAGGGTAGATTCTCCACTTCTGAAACATGTCATTGATTTACAAGATGTTTCAGTCCACTAAAAAAAATGGTCTATGGTTTCAAACGTTCCGTGAGGCAAGATGCACCTAATATTTCATAAAAATAAGTACTTAATCACTGTTATAAAACGCCATTTTGTTACTTGATTATAATTAAGAACAAAATGTTTTACTACTTATTACATTACTGTTTCAATAATTTGTTACTTTGTATCAGAATAATGGGTTTTATAAAACAAGATAAATCATTATACCTGTCCCAAGACCACCATCTTCTTCATGGTGACTGGTGTCATCTGCATGAAGTGTGCCATCGTCACTCCCTCTAAATCTAAGATGCTCTGACCACCAGCCACTGTGGCGTTATCGTCCTCCATTAACAGAATCTGGAAATAAATTATCATTAATTAATTAATTTAATGAACATTCGAAAATATGTAACGGTTATAGGCTGTACACTCCATACACAGTCAAAGTCAAAATGTTTTCAATTTGACCCTCACAGGGTGAACAATTTTACCAATATTTTTTTACACATTGTAATATTATCTACAAATCTTCTTATAGCTCAATAACTGAATGAAAAAAATAGTTTCGGTTCTGAATAAATACAGATAAAAGACTAGATAAACATACTCTCATCAAAACGTTGGTAGCTGACATAACTTCCAAGATGTCGTACTTGTTGGGGTCGTAGAGAGCTGGTCTGATTATTGAAGTCTGGGGTGCATCGGGACCCGGAGCCTTTGGCAGTATAATGAATACCCTGGAAATAATAAAAAAGAATTTCATAGATAAAATATTGCCTTTTACATTAATCTAATCTATAACCGATAAATTATTGGATCTCTCTGCTTTAGGTAAGCTAAGCCATGCTCGATGAAGTCTCAACCAGTACTACATTATTTATAGATAAAAAACTTGGATTACGCTTGTAAGAAGACATTTTATCAGTTTTTTTTTAATGATTTCAAGCCACTTCACCTTAATTATTATTCCCTGGTATTAACGGTCAAACTAATAGTTTGTCATTACCTATAGGTCAAGTCACAATTATCAAACATATAACATGGAATATTCATTAATTAATTAATCACGAGTGTTCATGTCACTGCTAATTAATACACACTTTCGACCAATTAACCAATGATATCAATATACAGCTAACGAATTTATTTTT